TCAATTGATGTGGTTATCGATAAATTAAGCCGATATGATAATGAAAAAAATATTCACTCCTTTTGATATCAATTTGATATATACTTTTACAACTCAGAGAAATGATATATATTTGTCCTAGAACGAAATAAATATTTGTTTTAAATAAATTTTATTTTGTAATTAAAAAAAAATTAGATTTGAGTAAAATAGAATTTTATTTGTGCCATGAAAAAAAAAATTATTTGATTCAAATAATTGATTACTTGACTATTATCACCGTCCGACAAAATTCAACTTTTTTTTGACCCACAAAAAAAGACCAACACACAAAAAATAAAAAAGGTATTAAAATAAACTGCAACACTTATTATTTTAATCCAATTTTGCTTATTTTAATCCATTTTGGTATTAAAATAAGCAAAATTGGATTAAAATTATAAACGTTGCAGCTTATTTTAATGCCTTTTAATTTTTTGTGCATTTTTGGAAACTAGGACCCAAAAAAAAAATACCCGTGTCTGACCGTTTTGCTAGATCAAGTCATTTGTGATTTTTAGGGGTGAAAACAACCCCTAAATGAAAAGTGACAAGATATCTTTTAAAAATTATTAATATTTTATAAAACTTGGTATCTGGGGGTTTTCGGGGTCGCTGACTATTAATCTGATGTCAGATTTTCAAAATTCAAAATGGCGGATTCAATATGGAGGTCAAAATTTTAAAATGTTATTAAATTTTTTTTTAAACTTTGATATCTAGGGGTTTTTTTGGGTCGCTGATGACAAATCTGATGTTAAATTGTCAAAATTCAAAATGGCGGATATAAAATAAAAAATTAATAACCTTTTCAAAAATTTGTTCGACATATTGGATCCGCCATATTGAATTTTGAAAATCTGACATCAGATTAATAATAAGTGACCCCGAAAACCCCTAGATACCAAGTTTTATAAAATATTAATAATTTTTAAAAGATATATCTTGGCAATTTTCATTTAGGGGTTGTATTCACCTCTAAAAACCACAAACGACTTGATCTAGCAAAACGGCCAGATACGGGTATTTTTTTTTTGGGTCCTAGTTTCCGAAAATGTTAAATTTTTTTGTGGGTCAAAAATTGTGTCGAACGGTGTTATCAAAATAAATATTTATTTGAACCAAATGATTTTTATTTGCATTAAATAAATTATATTTGAAACAATAATTTCTAAAATTATTTAATTTGAAACAAATAAAATTTTTTTTCACTGTGCTTAATTAAATTATTTATTGAAACAAGTAAAATATAACTAGGCTCTATTAAAAATATCAAATTGATACCAAAAATATCAAATTGATATAAAAATTTCGATCAATTTGATATTTTCAGTATCAATTTGATTCTTTTAAATTAGTGTGTGAGACAAATATATATATTTATTTAATTTAAATAAATTTTATTTTTCTCAAATAAATGCAAATAAAATATTTCTCTGAGTGTAAATTAATTGTGATTTCAGATTTTTTAAATTAGAGAACTCTCTAAACAGATTTTCTAAAAAAAAAACTCCTAAATATCCCAAATTCAAATTTGTACGATTTAATTTTTTTTCAAATACAAAAATTATTGATTCAAATACAATTTGTTTAATTTAAATAAAAATTATTTCGTTCAAGTAAATATTTATTTGATAATAGTCGAGTAATCGAATATTTGAATCAAATAAATTTTTTTTCAATGCATCAATTATCTAATATTTTCAACAGAAGATAAATTTCCCATCTGAAATACAACATAAGATAAATAAATTCTTAAAAAAAAAATTCAAAAATAAAAAAATTATACCAACTAATAATTCAGTGCCTACATTTATCTATATCGATACTTCGAGGACAAATTATTGAACACATTTTCAACACAGTTAAAAAATTATTGCGCTTTTTAGAAAAGCACTTTAGTCCTAAGATATACATAAAGAAGACTATTTTACCTATACGACAGTAAAGGAAGAAAAAATTTTTTAAAATATTTCCCCCTTCGTTTTTTCTTTTTTTTTTTTTGAAAGAGAGAGAGAGATATGTGTTCGTTAAACGGGAAATTTGAAAACATTGTTTAACTTCGCTTACAGAGGCAAAAGAGTTTTCAAAGAAGAAGAAAAAAAAAGAAGTTTAGTATGTTCGAGAGTTTCGAACAAGTATATAAGAAAAAAGAAGTTGAACAGGAAAAGTAGTGCGCACCCAGTCCTTGTCGGCACTTTTCGTCGTCGATCGCTCGACCTACCTTGTGGAGAAAATTTTTTTTAATTTTCTTTTTTTTTTTTTAAGAAAATCGACTTGACAATTCCTGACCAAAAGAAGGAGACAATGTCACTGTAGACTGTTCTCTCGTAAGTTTTGAACGATCTTAAAATCCTCTATCTCTCTCTCTCTCTCTCTCTGTTGTATATTTCTTTGAAAGTTTCTCGCGCGACATCTGGAACGATGACAAGGGGAGTAAAAGAGAGAGAATATACCGGAAATATTTGTATCGGCAGGTTAAACGAGGGATGAACCGACACGTGACGACTAAGTCAATTCTGTAGGGAGCCAACTGGTCTTTGCGCTATAGGCGAAAGGTTCGTTTCGCCATAATCAAGTTTTCATGAAGTTAGTGTTGTGTTCCCCCTTTCGTCCGGACTCACTCTGTCTCTCTCTCTTTCTCTCTTTCTCTCTCTCAGTTACTCTCTGAAGGGAACAAAGTGAAAGTTCAACAATTCAAGCAATGGAGGTTTTACGATCTTCTATCAGAAAGGGACCTCAACTTTAATGAAACTCAACTTTTCAAAAGCCTCGAGGGAATTTCATGTCCCAACAAAAAAGAAACTGATTTTCAATGTCATTTTTTATTCACCTTCAATCCAATGTATTTTTATAGTGACCAGTTTCAACTTGAAACTTTATCCATTTCCGCATTTTTGTAAAAAAAAAAAAACAAAGTAACTTTTTACTCGTCATCCTTCACTTTTTAAGATTGTGCGAACAGTCGAAAGTAACTAACTGACAGTGGAAAAAGAATGTAAGAAAAATAAATTGTTATTTTTCTGGGTGCGATAAAATTACTGAAATCTGAGGATAAAAAAAAATTCGATAAGGATCTTTTTGCAAAAAAATTTTTTTTATTATTTTTATAATTACAGTGAAACCTCTTGTAAGAGTGCAATGATACGATTATAGAGTTTCAACTGTACTAAAAAAGAAAACAATCAAAATTTACTTCTTGATCTCTAATTGATACAAAATTTATTAAAAATTTCTACTAATTCCGATTAAGAGAGTATTATCAGAATATAAATTTATATTGAATGCAAATTAATTATAATAACGATTAAAATAGCAATCAGGAAAGAAATCAGTAAAAAAAATTTTCTACTTTAGAAAAGGGACCCCCACTTGGAAAGATTCCCAGAAAAGTGCCCCGCTGAAGGTTCTATCAGAATTCCGCCGGAACTTCCAAAGTAATTCCGTCGGAATTCCATCGGAGTTCCAAAGAATTTCCAATGGAATTCCGACGGAGTTCCGATTAATTTTTTTCATAATTTTTAGAGTTCTAATTCCTTTGGAATTCCGTCAGAATCCCATCGGAATTCCATCGGAAATTCTTTGGAACTCTGATGGAATTACGTTGGAAGTTCCGGCGGAATTCTGATAGAACCTCGAGGGGGGCACTTTCCGGGGAATCTTTCCAAGTGGACCGTAAAGGCAATTTACACTAAGAGTTGATCCTCTTTCTGTATTTTCAATCAAAAAATTACAAACATAACCTAAAATTTTTTTTTTTTTTACCTCAAAGAACCCTTTTCTCGTTGAGAATCACATATATCACAATTAGAATCACAATTAGAAAAAAATAAATAAACAATAATTTTACTCTAATCTAGACTTATAGGATTGTAATCAGAACACAGAAAATTAAAAGGCATTAAAATAAGCTGCAACGCTTCTTATTTTAATTCAATTTTGCTTATTTTAATCCATTTTGGTATTAAAATAAGCAAAATTGGATTTAAATAAGAAGCGTTGCAGCTTATTTTAATGCCTTTTAATTTTCTGTGAATTTTTTATTGAATTGTAATTAATTATATTAGAATTCAATCAGCAAAAAATTCTTTTTACGTTCTCTCGTTTTCTAATAAATTTCCCTGCACAAAACATCAGGAAAAACACAACCAAATAGTAACGACCATTTCTAGATAATTCAACTCTAAATGACAAAATACAAAACTAAAAAATCCATTCATAAAAAATTATACCTCTCAACTAAAAAAAAAAAAAAAAAAAACCCCTCTTGAGATGAAATAGAAGTAAATTTTCTATCTTATAAGGAACACTTACTTTTTTACATTAGTCTAAGTGTTCTGTATCTTTTCAAAAAAAAAGAGAGTACAGCTCATTAGATCGGAGCGTTATCAAAGGATGCATCTTGCTTGATTTAAAAGTACGAAATCCTTTTTCTCTAGTGCTTTATTACTTCGAATCGGATTTCCCTTTTTCCATGAAGCTTTTCTCTCTCTCTCTCTCTTTTCCTTCCTTCTACTCTTTCAGAGAAATCAGAATCTATATTAAATTCCGTTCTCATGTTACCAGGAATATCGCTTTGGACTTTATATATATATATATATATAGGGAGAAAAGAGAAGAAAGATGATCCCACGGGGTCGAGGGTCCGCAAGTCGCGTATCATTCCAAATCATCATGAAAAAGAGGGTTTTCTCAACACACAATTCGTATGTACATTTTGTCTGTTTCTGCTTTTTGGCGGTGGCGCGTGATTTTAGATTTTTGGTAGAGAGAGAGAGAGAGAGAAAAAGATCAGGTGTCGCGATTCTGGTAACCCAGAGCGCGCACACACATATATATATATATATAGATATACAAATACATTGGCTTTTCTGCGCTGGCTCAACTCGGCACCCCACCATAGAATTGACAGAGGGGGAAAACCACCCTCTCTCACCTCTTTCTACCTTCAACCTCTAACACCCTCCACCCCCTAGTAAGCACCAGCAGCGCCTCGACTCTCAACCTACAGAGAGCCGGCATCCCCATCTCTCTCTCTCTCTTTCTCTCTCTCATTCTCTCTCTACATCATACTGGGCTTTTGCTGTAACCTCCTTCGCTTCACTCAGTAGCGCCGGGCGTCTCAACGCGGCAACACGTTTTGGAGGGAGATTTTTGACATTTCATTCTCTCCTACAAACAACCCCCGTGTGTATAGGGATCCGCCCACATTCACGAAACTACCCACTTTTTTTTTGGTAACTAAACTTCAACGTGTAAAAAAAAAAAAAAAAAAAAAAAATTCCCCCTCAATTTTATTTAAATATTTTTTACAAAAAAAAAAAATTTTTATTTTTTTTTATTTTTTCCCTTTAATAACAATGTGCAAAAAAAGAATTGGATTAATAGAAAAAAAAATTCAATGAAAATTTTTAAAAGTGGATATTTCAAATAAACGAAAAAAAAAAAATGGAAATTTCGGATTATTATCCAACATTAGACGGAGGTGGTGGTGATAACAACAATGTTAGTGACAGTGATTCTGGTGTTGAAAAAGTTTTTTGTAACTGTGTTTGTTGTGATTATTATGATGATGATGATGTGAAGGAGAAATTAATAAAAAAAAGTGGATTTTCAAGGATGTACTTGGTGACAATTAGTGTACTTATGATCCTGATGAGCCATCCTCAGGGAATGATGGCCCACTCGAGTAAGGGTGAGTTGAAAACTTTTTTTCATCCCCCTTTTTTATAGACATATATATATATATATATATATATATATATATATATATATATATGAAAAAGACATACAATAAATTTTCGCGATGAAATTTAAATTTCATTCAAAATGCTTAAAGGATGTTGACCTTTGACGATGAATGTGAAACTAGCTTTGCTGAAGTGAAATATTTATCTCTTTCGAAACAGAAGGAGAGAGAGAGAGAGAGAGACAGAGAGCAGGCAATTGTAAACCGAGGGCAATTGCAATATGTGTGTTTACTTAGCAGTAATACAAATTGAAACTCAAAATGACATTATTATTATTGCAAAATTAGTTAATTAACAACAGTAATTAGTCAATTTAATTTTCATTAATTTTTGAAATTAATATCCAAAAATTTGTAAACAATTCTTTGGGGTTTTAATTTTTACACGTGTTTTGAAAAAAAAAATTTTTCTTCTATCAACTAAAATTTTAGTTAATAGAAATTAATTACAATTTACGTTAATTTTTTTTAAACAATGTGTACTCTCTAGATTTGAATTAATGAAAAGTGAGCTACTAATTTACATTTACTAATTTTTCTCTCTAAATCTGAATTAGTAAAAATGTTTACTAATTTGAATTAGTGACTCACTTTTTGCTTCTGAATTAGTAAAATTTTACTAATTGTTAGTAAAAGTTACTAATAATTAGTAAAATTTTACTAATTCAGAAGCAAAAATTGAGTCACTAATTCAAATTAGTAAACATTTTTACTTATTCAGATTTAGAGAGTTTGTAAAATATTACTAGTTGATTTAGTAGTTTAAAATTTTTTTACTAAAATTTTAGTAAAAAGTGACTAAAAATTAATGGCAATTCTTACTAATTTCAAATTAGTAGCTCACTTTTTACTGATTCAGATTTAAAGAGTAACTTTAGTAATTTTTTTTTTGTACAAAATTATTTTTGGTAATAAATAAAAATAAACAAAATTATTTAGTTAAATAAATATTTTGTTTTATATACATTTTCCTATCTTGTTTTCTAATTAGATGACTAATAAAAACTTGAATTTTAATTGAGAAAAAGTAAAGGTTTTTTTTTGCTATGACAAAAAAAAAAAAAAAAAAAAAATTGTACAAGATATATAATTTACTGTTTTAGTAGTTAATAAACATGAATTTAGAGTTTAAATTACAGTTTCCGTGAATTTGTTTTATGTAAAGTATATGTACAATAAAGTAGGGAACTTTTAAAATTTTAATTGGGATTGAAAAGAGTTTTGAAGTGTTCTTGTATTGAAGTGTGTGTGTGTTTGTGAATATGAAAATTATAATTAACGATTTTTTTTTAACTATATCTCGTGGAAAATAAATTTCTTTTTCTCTATACATGTATTTAAAAAAAAAGTTCATTGAACAAAACTTTCATTAAATGAGAGAAAATAATTTTTGTTTGTATTTAACAATAACAAAATTATATTTTCTTTTTTTAACAATGAATTTTATTTTTTGATATTATTTTGTTCAATAACGAAGTTTTATATTATTCGTATATGCGGAATATAAATTTCTCCCTCCGTCTATTTTCTCCTTTAATTCATTAACCTACTTTTAATTTAAGTTTATACCATTCTCCATTAATGTAACTCAATTCAATACAATGGATATTAATAATGTAATATTTGCAGTAAATTGAACAGACTGAAAGCTAAATTTGTATCGACAAGTTATAGAAATGAAAACAATTCTCAATATATAGGATTCAGTTGAGAGAGAATGTTAAATTATATATATATATATACGAAAATTTCAAAATAGCACAAATAAACGTATTTGTTTATTAATTTAATATTTAAATGAGCTTAATTTTGTTAAATATTCGCGGAAATATTGACGGAAATACTTATAATTGCTCTAATGAACAAACGCGCTTTGTATGCGTAACAATTAAATTGTTTTCTCAATAAAGAACGCTTTTTCTATAAACATACATATACAGACACATAAAACAGTATTATAAATGCGGTTCTTTGAAAATATTTGTTTGTATATTTCGTTTTCCAAATTGACAAAAAAAAACTCTACCTGTCGCTATAACAAATAAAAAAAAAAAAAAATAACCCCTTCGCGAATTATTTCCTATAACAAAAGCGAAAATAATTGCATTTCTAATTTTAATGTAAACACAAAATCCAAAGTATAAAACATTAGACCTCGCGAAATACCAACCTTTTAATTTCTTGTATAAGTTTCACGAATTATATTTTCTGCCTAGAGAAAAAAAAATACATTTTATTTTTAAAAACCATTAAATTATATATTTATATAAATATAACATAATATAAAGTCCTCAACTTTCGTACTAATGATTTCAAGTTTTCTTTTATTGTTCTTCGTGAAATTTAAATCTCAGTAACAAGAAATTCAAATTATAACTGAACCTTGAATTCTACTTAGCTCCAATTATTTTCCTATTAAAATAGCAATTATATTTCCGACAAAAGGTATATATTCTTTATATTCATCTCAATTATTTTGTTTAAAAAAAAAACACTAAAATCGGATCTTCACAAATCGTTAAAAAAGAATATAAAAAAAATAAAATTCTGACTACTACAAACAATAATAATCATCATTGTTATTATAAAAATGTATCATTGATTATCTACTTGACAGTAATGTTTCCATTTGTAATTATACCAATAACTGTAATTCTAATAATGATTATAAGTTTTAATTATTGTAAGTATTAATGATTATAAATAATAATGACTAAGTATTAATAACTTTATATTAATTATTGTAAGTATTAATAATTTTAAGTAGTAATGATTGTAAGTAGTAATGATTGTAAGTAATAATGATTGTAAGTAATGATGATTGTAAGTAATAATGATTGTAAATAGCAATGGTTGTAAGTAATAATGACTCTAAGTAATAATAACTAAATATATATAACTATAAGTATGAATAATTGTAAGTATTAATGATTGAAAGTAATAATAGTTGTAAGTATTAATGATAGCAAGTATCAATAGCTGTAAGTATTTATTAATGTAACGAGCAATGCTTGTAAACAGTAATAATTGTAAGTATTACTGATTGTAAGTAATAATGACTAAGTAATAATAACTAAATATCTATAACTATAAGTATGAATGATTGTAAGTATTAATGATTGAAAGTAATAATAGTTGTAAGTATTAATGATAGCAAGTATCAATAGCTGTAAGTATTTATTAATGTAACGAGCAATGCTTGTAAACAGTTATAATTGTAAGTATTACTGATTGTGAGTAATGATGATTGTAAGTAATAATGATTGTAAATAGAAATGGTTGTAAGTAATAATGACTCTAAGTAATAATAACTAAATATCTATAACTATAAGTATGAATGATTGTAAGTATTAATGATTTAAAGTAATAATAGTTGTAAGTATTAATGACAGCAAGTATCAATAGCTGTAAGTATTTATTAATGTAACGAGCAATGCTTGTAAACAGTAATAATTGTAAGTATTACTGATTGTAAGTAATAATGATTGTAAATAGTAATAACAATTGTAAATATTAATGATTGTATCAATGATTGTAAGTAATAATGACTGTAAGTAATAATAACTAAATATCAATTACTGTAAGTATGAATGATTGTAAGTATCAATAACTGTAAGTATTAATTACTGTAACTACCAATGCTTGTAATACTTACAATTATTACTGATTGTAAGTAATAATGATTGTAAGTATTAATTTTTGCAATTTCTGCAAGCAAAAAAAAACCTTTACCTATAGAACAGCTATATGTTTTACTAAAACAGCGAAAGTTTTCGCTAATCTAGAGAAATAAATCGCTATTCCAGAAAAACTTATCGCTGTTCCAGGTAAAGATTTTTTTTGCGTGTGATGATTGTTATTACCACTATTGCTTTATGAAGAATTTCACCCAAATATTACTCAAATTCGAATAGAATTGTATTTTTAAAAAAGTATAAATGTAAATCTATTCATCATATCTTGTTTGAAATAGTTTTTTTTTTTTTTATTTTAAAATTTAAACGTTCGCAAAATTTCAACTTCATTACAAAGCTTTCATTGGCAGTTAAGAATGATTGCTCTGTTTTCAACAAGCGCATCTACTATCAATCAACTTCTCTCTCAATCTTTTCAAGCCATAAGTTCCGGAAAGTTTTGCATATACTTTTCAAAGTTTATATATATATATATATATATATATATATATATATATATACTACATTATACACAAATACAATTGGAAAACGATCCAAAGCATTTTAAAGACAAGTAAAAATATTGTTTCAAGAACAAATATTAAAGTATAATTTTTCCAAAATATATTCATGTTTTCAATTAAAAGACGATTTTCTATTTTTTTTTTTTTTGACAAAACTATGCAGTCAATATATGTATGTTTATTGGGATGAAATATTTTAATTAGAATATAACTCGAGCTATTTTTAATTATAGGAAAATCGAATATCAATTTTATCAAGTCAAAATGAATATATTGCATTGTTGATGTGCGCGGAAAGTTTGAAACCTAAATTCAGAATGAAGCCTAAAAAAATAAAAAAAATAAAAAAAAAATTGGTGTGTGCTATAGTATATGGTCGACTTTAAATTAATTGAAAGTCGCCTGTCGCGCGTTGCGAATGTGGTGCAGTTACAAGTGTGCTATATACTAGCGTTGCTTTAAAGGTAGTGAAGTGCCGAGTGACATTTTGATTCGTGTTTAATTAAACACCGATTGCAAGTTTTCCAACTCACCCTCTCCCTTACCATGTCTACACGATTTGAAAATGTCGTTCGCAAATCGAAACGGAATTTGTCTCGATATATACTTCTATTTTTTTTTTTCATCACATTTTTCCATTTTTCATTGTCATATAATTTCTATTTTTATTTCAATAATAGTAAAATTTTTATCTAGCCAATAAAATTTATGCACAGTGTAATTTTAACTATTCGGCAAAATAACAAAA